TTTCACTTTCCCAATATTTCAAGGATGCCATTGTTTTCTGTTAACTTCCTTTGTTATATTGAGACAGTCTGACTGCCTTATATTAATATTTTATCACCTAAAAATAACATTTATTTGTTTATGCTGCTTTTAAAATCTTTCCTTGCCCCTGTTTTTCTGCAGATTTATTATAATGTACCAGGTGGTCTTTTTTCTTGCATTAACTTGACTGCTTTGTAGATTTTCTTAAATCTTTCTCTTAATGTCTATTGTCAGTTTGGGGAAATTCTTGGTGATATTGTCTTAAAATATTGCTTATTTCTCAATTCCTCTCTCCCTTTCTTCTGGAACTTCAATTACACAAATATTTCTGTACAAACTATCGATTTTTTTCTGCTTCAGTTAGAATGTTTTGCACTAATCTATCTTCCAACTCAACCCATATGTATGCATTTTGTATTTCAGGTATTTATTTTTCAATTCTAAATTTGTTTGATTCACATGATTTCCAGTTTTCTGCCGAAACTGACAATCATCAGTTTCTTTTCTAAAGCACACAAATCATAGTTAACCATTAAATTTTCTGTTATTGATAACAGTGGTATCTGGATACCCTGCTCCTTTTCTACTGTGTCTCTCTTAGTGTTGGGTCATAGGATGCTGTTTCTGGATGTTTCAGGTGAGTTTGCTTTGATTCCCAGGCTTGGCTGTGCATTCGTGTCTTCTCCAGAGGACTTTTTCCTGGCTGTCAAAGGACTGCCTTGATCCAGTCAGCTGGCGGACTGATTCAAGACCACATTTTACTTTACTGACTTCCCAGTCATAACCCAGAGATTGTGATCTTCTCAAGCAGATCTCCCTTTAAAAGATAGGCCATGAACTCCCAACTCTCTCCCAGCACCCACAATTCCAAATGCTCTGTATAGCTCTTTAGACTACTGAAAGCACCTCTTTCATTTGGTTCCTTTCTAATCTTAGGAAAAAAATTAGGATTGGGCAAATTTATCAAGAACCTAAAGCCGGCAGCTGTCAGGCTTGCTCTCTTGTAATTCTTCCTATAGATAATAGGTCCCTCAAACTGTCACTGCTTGATAGCCCAGTTCAGGCCTGTCATATCCTGTTTCCCAAAACCATTTTATCTGAGCTGCAGATTCCTGTTTGACTGTAATACCCTAAAATGAGACTCAGCAATCCTTTGAAAGGAAAATGACTTGCAAAATGTGAGAATAATCTTAACACGTATGCCTCTGTCTTAATTTTTGACTTTAAAAATCCTGTCTGCTTTATATCATTCTCATAGACCTTAAAAGATGTGCTTTTCTGTTATCATTATATTCAGCCCTCAAAACTATTCTCAGTGGGAGTTTAGGTCTGAGATTTTGGAGAGAAATGGGGGGGTGGTTCTAGTTACTCTTTTTTATTTTGTTTTGAGACAGGGTCTCGTTCTGTGGCCCAGCTGGATTGCAGTGGCACAATCACAGCTCACTGCAGCCTCTACCGGTTGTGCTCAACCACTTCAGCCCCTCAAGTAGCTGGGACTACAGTCATGTGACACCATACCCAGCTAATGGTTTTTTTCTATTTTTTGTAGAAATTGTGTTTTGCCATGTTGCCTAGGCTGGTCTTGAACTCCTGGTCTCAAGTGATCCTCCTTCCTTGGCTTCCCAAACTTCTGGGATTACATATGTGAGCCACTGCACCTGACCTCAGTTGCTCATTTTTCTACAGCTTAGTTTCTGCTTCTTTCTTTCCTTCTTTGGTTTACTATCCTTTAAGTATATCTATGAAGGAAAAAACTATCTTAAGTCAAATTCATGGCTTTGGGTGGAAGAAGAGAGAAAAAAGAAAATGTGTGGTTTTATTATACAGTTAAAGAAGACTGTGTGCATAGCCATTCATGGTTTTCCTACATGGTAGTATGTACATGGCACCTGAGTCATGTAGAATTAAGGGAAGGGAGTCCTTTTCCCTTCAGGCTTAGAGGTGTTGCCAGCACCCTTATGTACTTCTACTTGTTTCTCCCTTGTTACACCCCTTTGACTTTGAGACTCATGCCACCATGCAAGGTGACTACTGATGTCCATCATAGTTCTCTTCCTTCATGTAGCTCCTGGCTTCTTGTCACTGCTTCCTGCAGGCAGTTTCATAATTCTTGTAAAGTAACTCATGGTTGAGCCTTTTAACCCATAACTTTTCTCTCCACTCCACTGCAAGGTATGACATCAAGGTGCAAGGTGTGATATCACTGGTTATACCTTGAACCTTGCTATACTTTGTCATAAAAATCTTAGGCACCTAACCCCGTTTTCTGACCACACTACCATATCTCTTAATTATCATATTCTTGCACTTCCTGAAAAACTATCCCAATTTTAGATAACCTCTATTAATAATTTTGTCAGTTTTTTGACCCAGACTGGACAACATGGCTAGTACTCATTCTTTCTCACCAGCCCCTGAACTGTGTTAAAGTTCTACTACCAATCTGTCCCATCTCTGACAAAAACCTCAACTCGAGATCAATCCAGCCAACCACTATCTTCCCATATGTGTGCACAAGAAAGCTGGTGAAGAACTTGCTGATCTATACTGATACCTATGTATGATCTCAAGGCCCAAACTACTCATGCTTTTTTTCCTGAATTATAGTCAGTGCATTTTCCCCATTTCCATTTGCTATTGTCCTAAGTGATCACCACTTTTCTCAAGCACATTCCCAGCCCTTATTTCACCTGTTCTTGGCATATTTTACTCATAAGAGGAAAAATATTTAAGGCAATCAAAACATGTAATACCTGCTTTTCAAAATCTCGTGTGTGTTGTCTTGCCATTCCCACCCATTGTTAAACACTGACTATCTCACACTCACCCCACTGAAATAGGCTCCTAACTCTACGTTTTGATTCTGAAATTACCTCCCTCTTAGACATTTAACTTTAATTAAAACTTAATTAACATATAGAAACTTATTACATATTGAAAAGACATACTGCTAGTCAGCTAGATATACCTATAAGTGGATATATTTAAATTCTTAAGTCCTGTACTAAATTTTGTTTTAATTTAATCTTATGTTAATTTGTTAATACGCATAAAACAACAAGCACACTGCCACACTGCACTGTTAATTCGATCAAATGTAAATCAGATTCACGTTTATTAATCATTTTGGAATTTATTTTAAGCCTGCTATGTGATGGTTATATTTATAAGAACTGTAATCACAGCTTTTTATAATTATTTTTAAACTAACATTTTAAAAATTACGTAAAGAAAAAAATTGTGTTTATTTTTAACTTTAGAAAAAGTTATTTTATAATCATTTACAACTGAAGAAATTTTGTTCTTCTTTTTTTTTAGGTTTCCAGGACAATTTTAGCTTGCTAGCACTGAGAAATAATTTGTTTAAAATGAAGAAGCAAACAATGTTGTTACTCTTTGCAACTGTTTATGTGTTTGAAACAGGACTTTAAAATAATAATTTGCAGCTGAAAACAGATGCTAGCTTTCATGAAATATATCAGGTGCCCAAATAAAATTATTTTCTTCAATGTCATTTCTAACATTGATAAAGAAAATCGATTCCAGGCAGGGCTGCTGTCTGCATGGAGTTGGGTTCCCCACGTCTGCCTGGGCACAGGTTTATCCAACATCCCAAAGCTGTGCATGTGAGGTTTATTGCTGTTAGGTGATAACCTGGTTGGAAAAAAATAAATGAATATAAATTGTCAAGTAAAAACTTGTCAAGTATATAATAATCATACAAATGCAGGACAATAAACAATGTAATAGGAAGGTGCTCAGGGAGCCGTCACATTTGTGATTGTTTTTGACTTGCATAGGAGGAGGTGCTCCTGAACATGTTCCATTTGCAAACATTCATTCCTTGATTTAACCAACTTCCACGCCTACCACTGTGAGTCACCTATCCACCAAAAATCGGGGAAATAATTATCTTGTTTTTATTAATATTTCTGAAATGTGTTATTTATTTAAATGTTTAATATTAGGAGTGTTTGAAGTTTGGTGATGCTTTTTGTGAGCATAAATATGTCATAGGAACTTGACTCTTGTTTATGTCAATTAGCCTAAGGAGAAATTGGTTATGTTAGACAGAGTTTTGCTTGAAGTCAGTTTCCAAAGACCCTTTGTAGAATATTAAGTGGGGAATTACTGTACTTAAACAATCATCATAACATATAGTTAATTAGTCATTGCATTGTTTAAAACAGATCAATTTTCCCCAAATTGACTCTATAGTATATATTATTCTGATTTAAACTTAAAAATAAAGCTATCCTAATGAAACACTAAATAATTTTTTTTTTGAGTGGGAGTTTCACTCTTGTTACCCAGGCTGGAGTGCAATGGCACGATCTCGGCTCACCACAACCTCCGCCCCCTGGGTTCAGGAAATTCTCCTGCCTCAGCCTCCTGAGTAGCTGGGATTACAGGCATGCACCAATTTTTAGTAGAGACGCAGTTTCACCATGTTGACCAGCATGGTCTCAATCTCTTGACCTTGTGATGCACCCACCTTTATATAGAACAAAATACAATTTTCTTTTGAAAAAATAAGCCATAATATTGTAGCTACCTGCCTTTTCACCTCCAAGCCCCTCAGTCTAAAACTCTGTCATTTCCCAGGCCTGTTCTGCTTCAACCGTATGTATCTTCCCCATTCTCCAAAACTACGGCATTTCTCAGTTTCCAGGGTTTTGATAGGCCATCAAATTTCTAGATTGAGTGTCAATTCTTCCTGGGCAGGAGTTAAGAGTCTTTGAAGACTCAGGATTCTCATTAGACATTTCTTAACCTCTTGAGGCCAGATTAGGACTTTTTTCCTCTAGGTTTTCTGTAGAATCCTTCATGTAACTCAGTTTCATAGACATCTGCTTCAACATCCACCTTCTTTCAAATTCTAAGCTTCCTGGATGCAATTTTGTGCCCCAGTCTCTAGTGTATAGCATACATATTTTTGAATAAATCAATAAAGGAAATGTAAATTAATCAATATTAATTATACAACTACATGTTTAAATTTTATAGAAATATTTCTAAATAATCCCTTAAATCTTTGTGTTATCTTGGGCAGCATACCAAGGGCTTAGCCTTTGAAGTTCTCTTATAGGCCCTGTCATTAATCCATCTGTGATTTTGCTAAATCATTTTATCTCAATTTCAGTTTCCTCCCCTATGAAACAAGAGAATTGCATTAAACTAACTTAAAGGAACTCTTTGGCTCTAACATTCTATTACCTTTTCCACAAACTTCAGTGAAGGCATTGCTGCCTTGCATTGATATGTCTTGTTGCAGTCAGCATCAATGTTGAACTGAAATCAGCAGTGATTATGACTCTGATTTCAAATATGTGAAGTGGCTAATTCAAAATGAAGGAAATGATATTTGATTTTTTATTTTTCCTGTCTTATACCAGGGCATTTTGGAGTACATCTAAACTTGTTGAGAGTATAACTAAACCCTTTCAAATGAAAATGAGTCAGTATTCTTGACAGCTTAGTTACAACTGTACAATACAGTAAATGTATGATGTTTTGGTTGCTTGTGATTTTATTGTGTAGACAAGAACAATCTCATTTCTGAACAAATCCTCCCTTTGGAGCTTGCTAAATGGTTCAATAGTTCTATCCCAATCTACATGAAATACATGTGTTAAAGGCTGGGCATACTGATTTATGCCTGTAATCCCAGAACTTTGGGATGCTGAAGTGGAAGGACCACTTGAGCCTAGGAGTTCAAGAGTTCAAGACCAGCCTGGGCAACATAGCAAGATTTTGACTAGATGACAACCACCACCACAACAAAAATAGAGAAAATAAAATAAAACAGAGGGCTAAAACTCTTGATTGTAATCTCTTTCATCAGCATAACCTAGTGAGATTCCAATGCTGTTATGTATATCAATAGAGTATAATTCCTTTGTAAAACTATGCATGTGTTTTTCCAATTTCCTGTTGAAGAATAGTTACAATGTTTGTATTTGGGCAATTATGAATAGAATTACTATAAACATTCATGTGGTATAATTTTGATTTTTCTTGTTTTTTTATTTTGAGATGGAGTCTCTGTAACCAGGCTGGAGTACAGTTGTGTGATCTCAGCTCACTGCAACATCTGCTTCCCAGGTTCAAGCAATTCTCCTGCCTCAGCCTCCCAAATACCTGGGACTACAGGTGCACACCACCACGCCTAGCTAATTTTTTGTATTTTAGTAGAGACAGGATTTTACTGCATTGCCCAGGCTGGTCTCAAACTCCTGAGCTCAGGCAATCTGCCCTCCTTGGCCTCTCAAAGTGCTAGGATTACAGGCATGAGCCACCTTGTCCGGCTTAAATTTGATTTTTCTAGGGTAAATACCTAGGGTGAGATTTCTGATCATATGATTGGTATATATTTACCCTCATAAACTGTCAACCTATTTCCCAGAATGGCTGTACCATTTTACATTTCCACTTGCAGCCTCAGAAGTTACATAGGTAATACTTCCATTTGTGTGACATTCTCAAAAAGACAAAATTACAGGAATGAAGAATGAATCAGTAAGTAATCCAGGGCTTAAGGTGGGGGAGGGTGTCATTAAAAAGGGATAGATACCACAGTACTTTGACGTATAGGAACTGTTCTGTGTTCTGATTTTGGTGGTAGTTACACAAACCTATACACCTATCTAGTCATAAATCTATACACACAAAAAGTTCTATTTTACTGTATATCACTTTAAAATAATTTGTTCATAGTTGAAGAAAAATTGCATGTGTCACAAAGCTGTCAAAACATAAAACTAATGCAATGTATCACCTGCAATACGAGATGTGTATATTTTATGGATAGGTACCTCAAGAAGGGGTTTACTAAGCCTTTAATATACTCATTACAATTGTAAATCGGGCAGTGGAATAGTAGCTGCTAAGATAAAAACTTGCCTAACACTGAAGTACTTTTTAGTCCTTTGTTGTCTTTATGTTTCTTTAATGTCCATGAATGGTATAAATATCTCAGAACACGTAGAAAACACAGTTATTTAATCGTATGATTTAATTGACTACTTGCCTTAATTGGGTTGATACAGTGATTAATAAGGATAAGTAAAAATGCACTACTATCTGTTCAGGTGCCTGGGCAGAATCATTCCTGAGGATGGAGTGAAATACCGTTAATGAGTTTCAAAGAGGTACTGACAAAATAAACTCCGGTATAAATTGGCAGATGAAAAGCAACTAGGCGAAGCGTCAGAAGTCAACTCAGCTGTTTGATAAACCAAAGCAGAGGAATTTCAGCTCTGGAAGACCATGTTTGCACTCTTATGTCTTTCACATACCTTCAAATACAGTATTGAGCGGATGCTGAGAGCAGGTGAAGTGAGTTGCAGGTTTCCTGTCTACCCAGTACCTAACCGAACGTGGTAGTTACTGATTCCATATTTACACAATTTATACCACTGCAGAGGGCCAGGACAGGGAGAAAGGACAAGGAATCTGATTTGTAAATTAAGCCGACTAAAAAATAATTAAGGGAGTGCTTTGACTGAATAATCATATTACTAAATACAATGTTAAAACTGAAGTTAATTCATACATATACTGAAGTTATTATTTCCCCATGGGCATCAGCATGTAGAACAAGCTTTAGATTTTATTTGATTTGACTCATGCACACATGTCATTCAAGTATGGCAGATTTTATTCACTGTGCTGCAATCCATTGCAGCCAGGTGGCATAGCAGATGATGAGTTACACCAATTATTTGCAATAGCTATTTTAAGTTCACTAAACATTATCAGAATTACAAAGTGTTTATGTGGGGAACTGCATCAAAAAGATCTAACCCAAATCTCTTGATCTTGCAGATCAAAGGGGAAAATAAAAGTTGACTAAATCCCAAAGTGATCTTCAGACTTCCTTTATCGAATGCAACCCACACTATTTAAAAGTATATGGACTGCCAGTCCTTATGACATAGACATCATTTTCCATCTCCTTCCATGCGAACCACAAGTATCACAGGCCTAGTAATGACACATGAAGCTACCAGAAGACACTGCTAAAAAGTGATAGGAGAAAGACAAGCTGGTTCGAGACCCAGGACCAGAGAAACAGCACACGGTGTGCTCCCACAAGCAGAAGGGCACTCATATCTGCTTTTTGCCACCCCCAACTAAGTAATAGACGGCCCCCAGGAAACCCTGTTCCTTCTCCAGATGAAACTGGCACTCTTCTGACTACCAGGCAGGCTGCACTGCCAGCAAAAGGAATGGCTACAGGAGCCACACCAACAATAAGCAACCAGGGAAGTCTTCACATTTCTTGTGGGCCTAGGGCTGCCTTTTCAAAGGAAAAGTAGCTAAGAAGGCAGACCCTGCAAGAGCGATGCAGCTACATCCAGGAAGGCTTTGTCCCTGAAGATCTGAGATGGAGAGTCTCCTCCCAACCCAGACACAGAGGCAGAGGGAATGTAATAGGTGAGGGGACTTTGGGAACAGCAGTCCCTCCAACCCCACCTCACCAGTTTCTCCCCTAGCCCACCCCATGCACCTGAAGCCTGGGAAATCTTTCTGAACTCTCAGCCAGCATCAGCAGAGAGCATTGGGAACCTCCTTTGGCACTAAATCCACTCAGCAGATCAAAGCAAAACCTTAAAGTCTCCAATAATCAAACTATCATTGAGACCTCCTCC